GCAGTTTTGTCATCTTCCTGCAATCTAACCCCAGAATGGTGATTACACAGATGCATTAGCACACAGTCAGCATTTTCTGCTGCCCTTTCCTCCCCACAGCACTCTGCACAGCTGCCAACTCGCCTGGCTGCTGGAGAGCTGAATGGGGAATAACACAGGCAACATACCGGGAAAACTGCCATGCTGCTGGCAAAAGGGCATGCCTGCCTCTTCCCTGGATCCTCATGGCAGCAGCACGAGCTAACCACTAGGAACACATCATCTTCCAGAGAGAGACAGCTGAACACACAGGTGCAGACAGGAGAGTTATTGCTTCAAAAGGAAGAATAAAAATAGGTTTAGGTAAACAGCGCTGGCATTCAATATCATGTCCCAGCATTTCCTTGGAAAGGCCCTTTGCCTACAGTTCTGTTGCTTCATTTGCTTAGCTGGTTTTACATTTTATCAGCCCACAGAAGCTCCCCATGAAGGTACCCAAAGGTCTTCAGAGAACCACAAGGCTGTGTTCAGACTCAGGAGCAATCAACAAACCAACACCACAACCACAGACACAGGGAAGGAGAATAAAGCATGAGAAATACAGGGCAAAGTGTAAGAACCAGTGCCAGCATCACTCTGTCCTTTTAACAGTGATTAACCACTGAGGGTACCAGCTGTCTGTCTGCAGGGTCCCCACCAGCACTGCCAGCATCAGCCAGGCACAGCACAGCATCTTCCAGGACACAGGGGACTGGGACATTCATTACTGCACACCCTGACACACAGCTGGGCTGTCTGTGTTTTTGTTTTCACAAGGGAAACCGTGAAAGTGACAATTTGGAGGGGAAACTGACTTCATTCTTGGTTCATGCTGAAGTTTTGGGTGGCTGTAGAAACCATGAATGGATCAGCTGAAAAACAACCCCTGATGAGTATTTCCAGACAGCCGTTCTGAAAGTGTTCACCATGTGGCACAAACAAATAAGCCTAATTATTTCAGCTTCCAAAAATCAGTTACTTTTTAGAAATATGCCAGCTGTCTAGCTTTTCAAAACCCAGTTTACTTCTCTAATCAATATGAAACAGCCTGTCAATCTTGCTCTGAATCCTCTGCCTGTCATCAGAACCACTTAGAGCCTAATCACACACTTACCATCCACCTTTGTAGACCTCCTGGCAAATGTTTCTATTATCAGCTTGCACAATGCAAAAAAAAAAAAGCTCTTTCTTGCTGCTTAGGATGAACCATTACATTGATGATTCAGGCATTATCTGTTTTTTCAAAAAGAATTGTAAATGCCATTTGTCACAGTACACCTTCCCACTCTTTTATTTCTTCACTGAACAAGAAAATGCCTCATCCAGCTGTAATCAGAGAACATCTAATATTTTCAAGACAAACAAGAACATGAATTTTGAATTCTAAACCAAATGGAACAAAACAAGCCATGTGCCCCTACACTGACTTAAGTCAAGACTCATGTATCCTCCCCTACAAATTTTAGACAATAACATTTCCCAAATTCTTCTGCCCTAGTGTGCAAAGCTAAATGCTTGCTTCAGGGGACTCACTTTGGCATTCACCAAAGTGCAGCCTGATTTTAACAGAATATGAAGCATGTCACAGTCTGTACAGCATTCCTGGTATCCTCCTGGAAAACTGCTACAGAAACCTTCTGTCATTATCATTCTTTACAGAGCTTTATGACCAACTGTTTCCAATTCTGTTTCTGTGTAATTTATGCCATACACTGGCCTGCATTTCCACTCCCTATTAAGGAAAACATTTTCAAAAGCATGTAAAAGAAAATAAGAAAATATCCATTTTGAAGCACAATATTTTATCAGTACTGCAGTATTTTAATACAAGTCCATTAAAATTACCATGACACTCAAACCCATGCAAGTAAAAATCTTGCCTGAAATCTACATTCAGGTCTCCTCCCAAGCATTTGATATTTCTTCCTTTTGCTCCAAAATTTAAGTTTTCTTTTGTGTATAATTTACCACTCAAGCCAGAGTTTTTTAAATACACCCTTCTGAATTTGAATCAGTGCTCACTTACTGCCTCCCTCTCCCAGGCAATCAACGTTAAAGGTTATGCCCAAACACTTCCCAAATGTGATGCACTGCTGGGACAGTTCTGACCCAAACTCCACTCTCTATCCAACATTTGGACCACTGAGGTTCTTTTTAAGCAGCTCTTTTCTCACCCTTGAGGCTGCTGTCTGGCAACATTTGTGTGTGTGCTGCTCCACTGCCTGTCAGGCTGCCACAATTTCTTTCCCTGCACATTATTGGTAACTATCTGCCAGTAACTCCCAAAACTTTCCTGCATTCCTTATAGCCAACTCCATCTTTTTAGTCTGCTCATACCTCCTTCATCAAATGATTCTCTAAACACAAAATACAATAGCTGTGTGTTTTGTGCACACTCCCAAGCTCCTTGGGAGAGCACCTTCATCCCTTTGGCAAGGCAGGCTTCAAGACTCCACCCTCCTGAACAATTAAAGTATCACCACCTCCTCTGTAGCATCTATCATAAACCAAAAATCTAAGTCATAAAGCATATGTTAGTAGGTGGATTAACATTTAATTCCTATGCTCATGTGATGTATGCTTGTGAGCAACACATATCTCACAGTGGTTTTCCACTTAATTACTTGCCAACATGCTATTGTTGGCCAAAAGATAAAATTGTGGGGAGATGATGAGAATATGCAATTAGAACTGACCATAAATCCAGATAAAAGCCATACTTAGAACCACATGAATCCACCATTCATTTTTTGGGGCAATAACATGCAGACACAAAGCCTTTATATGTAATTTTTTTTTTCTTTTTAGTATTTGCAACTTCATCAGAAAAAGCATCCAAAACTCTAGTTTCAAAGGTCTCCTATGAGACTGTGAAAATAAAAAAAGACATACATAAGAAACCTCACAGGACACTTTAGGTTTTGTTTGTCTAAGGAGGTTATGGTAAGTGTGTAAAAATACACACCTCCTTGTAAAACCACTGGAGGAAGCACACTTCATGGGGACAGCGATTTTGCACACCACGAAGCATTGCTTTTTGTGTTTCTTCACTCCAAGATGCCCACCTCTAAAACTAGACCTAAAAAATAAGCTCAGAAGACAAAAGAAAGCTGTTAGAGAAAATGAAGTTCCCAATCACGAAAATTAAACTATTTAAACGAGTTAAGGTTTTTTACAAGCTAAACAAGTTTTTAACAAGTTAAAGCCTGCAGCCTAACCCGAGGCACACCTCTGCACAGGTACAGACAGAGCCTCAGTTACACCAAAGCCATTTTACAGATCTGTTGTTGTCAGACCTTCCCATGACACCTCTGTCCCTCCATGCTTCCTTTGCCCCAGAACAGGGAGCTTGCTCAATATGGACTGAATCTTATAAAAAGTAGCATTTCAGCACTACTGAGTTTACACAATATAATCAAGATACTACAATTAAAAGCCATTAGAGAGAAGCATATGTGTTTAAGCCATGTGCACTGCTTGTAGTTACCTTTTTGAGAAGATTAAAATTAAGCAGCTTTTGCTTTTCATCTCACTCACACCCTCCCACTACAAATTCTGTCTGAGCTAATCCTCCTTCTAGAGACGTCAAAACAGGCATAAGTATTACAGCTACTTACTGCCAAAATGTGCTGGTTTAATATCCCATTACCATTGTAATACTGGCACAATAACTTATTATATGTGACAGCTTTTGCAGTTAGTCAAAGATAAAGCCACTTATTCAGTACTGGCTTTTTCATCACGTAAAAATATCTTTGTAAAATTCATAGAAGAGAAAATTTAAGATCTGTACTCAGATGCCCATCTGAGACTACGATGCCAGACAAAATAAAAGGCATATAAAGTCATTACACATGCTTTTCCTACTCTGTAATTTCAAAGACTTTATGTAAAGTGATCAGTCCAGAAATTCAGGTTACAGTGTTTACAAATGCATTTTACAAATACAAAGTAAGTTTACTCCTTACTTCCTGGCATTTTATAAGACACTTTCACAGAGTTTTGTTCCGATTTTTTTAAGAGCCACAGTCTGCACGAAGGCCAAGACAATGTCCACCTCAGAACACACCTCCAATGAGAAGCCCACGCTTGTCAAAACGCTCAGGGTTATTATTCGGGAACCTGCAGCACAGAAATACAGTAAGAAGTCTGGTCAAGGCCCTAGAAATATCTAGGTTAAGTACGCGCGATGAAAAGGATGCTGCGGGACACGATAAGACAAGCGGCACCAGGAAACAGGTGGATCCACGAAGTTACTCCGCTGCGGCCACAGTGTATCCGCCAACAATGGACGGCAAGTGCCGGTACCCGGAGCAGCCCCGGCACCCGGAGCAGCCCCGGAGCAGCCCCGCTGCCGCTCGCTGCCAGCCGAGGCGGGCACACGCGGGGACTCGCAGGGGGACGAGCCCAGCCAGCCCCTGCCCAGCAGCGCTCGCACACACCGGCTCTCGCACACCGGGTCCGGCCCGCGCTCCCGTCCGGCGCCGGGGCTGCAGCGCTGACCCGCCCCGAGGCCCCCACCCCCGCTGTCCCCGGGCGCCGGCAGCGACCGCCCGCCTGCTCCGCCGAGCCCCGACCGGGGCAGCGGAGCACCGGGGCACCAGGCACAGCGCGCCCCAGGCGGTGTCCCACCTGCCCGGCGGGGGCCCAGCCCCGCCCGCAGCCGCCCCGTACCTGCCTCGCCGCGCTCGGCACCTCCTCCCGGGCCCGCAGCTGGAGCCGCC